ACTACAGACATATCACTCAAAGAAAGACATCACACAAGCAATCAATCAAGTCTCAAGGGACTGGCTGGGTAACGAAAAAGGGGGCTGGATAGCCTATATTCGATGGGAGGGTGGACACTCTTCAGGGCAGGAGCAGGAAGACTTCAGGAGGGACTACTGCGTCTGCTTCAAGGAGTGCCATTGCGCTCACCCTACGAGTTCCTGACCCGTTCCCTCCCCATCAACTGTCTTTGGTCGACATGCAATGGTATGGTGCAGAATAAGCGAACGGACACAGGACAAGGAGATGGAGAACTGCTGGGCGGAGCAGCTTGGTGTTCTGTTGGAGGACACAGGACAAGGAGATGGAGAACTGCTGGGCGGAGCAGCTTGGTGTTCTGTTGGATTCCAGACAAAGACTGCACGGGTGAAGGCAGGTTGATGGAGTGGCCACCTACACACAGTATCGTGTTACCTAGTCGCTTTTTGTAGGCATAGCACCGTTTTTTGGTCAGATGGGACAGTGCCTGCGCAGTCAATCCCCCGTAATATAGGCAATCAATGCTGGCAGGAGACATAATGAAAATCTCAGTGAGACGCTGGACCCATTTTCCAGCAGGTGCTGCTCCCCACCAATAGATTGGAGCAACCAGGTGGCCTGCTAGGAGGGGATGCACTAACGTGGTCGTGGGGTTTATAAAAAAAAAAAAAAAAAAAGAGTTGAGGAGCAGCCGTTGCCGATTGTAAGTGGCCACCCCTACAGACCAGACAGGACCGGTTCGGGTGTGGACTGTGGAAGCACTGCATCCAATTCTCGCAATTGCAGTTGCTGCATTGAATGGCACGAAGTAGAACGAGTTCACAGGCTACGTGGCTCCTACATGCTAGGAACACAGAGGCAAGCCGACCACAATTTTATAGGCACTGCCATTCCAGCCCCTGTCTACAAATTGGACATGACATGTCAGGGTGCCGTGCATGAAATATGTAGACAGAGTAGTATTGAGCAAGTTTCTTGGGTATCCACAGTCATTATTTCCTCTGTATGGGCAGACGACAACAGGGACTGATCCAGAGCAAGGGTGTTTAGCTGTGGCAGGGTTTGTGTGTGTGTGTGTGTTGAATCCTATTCCACCCCGATGAGAAGATCCAAAATTGAAGCAGCTTTAGTCCTATTGCAGACAACGAAAAGACTTGAGTTGAGACAATCGGACAATGAAACAGTTTTACCTTTATAACAAGCCACGGAGCATAATAGAAGTGTTTAATCCCTTGCTTAACTGTGTTCATTTTGACATTCTTTGGAGTACCCCTTTCAATTGTTCTTGCAGCTCCCTTTTTACTGTGCCTCTCATGTACACGTTGATTGTGGTTGAGCTAGAGCTGCCCATAGCCCTGTGTGCCATAACGGCCCACTTGCACACTACGAAAGGAGGCAGAGTAAAGGCAGAGGTATGCAATAACCCACTCAAGTATGCCTACGTCGTCGGCCGAGGGGGCCACCTGCAAGCCTCGAAACGGCCCCAAGGCCGTGCGTCCGACCAAAGGGGAACAAAACTCTGAAATGTGGCTTCAGATGCCCTGCGCCCGACAGTTGACCGAAGTCAACTGTACGTCGGAATATTGAGGCTCACGAGTCAAAGTCTTCACGGACCCAGTCCAGGCCACCGATCAGACACACACACTTGATTGTACGCAGGTATCCAGACAGCATTCAGTCCAAGTGGAAGTCTGCAACTGTACGAGATCCAGGCCATCGGCTGTGAGTCAATCTGAGCCTCCGCACGTGAGAGACCAGAGGCTGGTCAACTTCGTCAACACTACTTATTGACCCTGCCCCTGGGAGTCAACAATCAGTCTTGCCTTACTGCTTGACGCTGGCACGACGCTGGCTTGACGCTGGCTGGACCCTGGCAAGACGCTAGCTCTGTGCTGGTATTGTGCGACGACGACACGAGACTGCTGCTTTGCGTGCTGGCGCCTCTCTGCTCTTGGCGCCAGCTGTCTTCTTGGATGCGGAAGTGGCATTTGCCATGCTGTCTTTAGCATTGCTGACGTGGCGCACACCACACTGTCTACGACACAGATTGGGATGCGACAAGGAGGGTGATCAGTATCTGTGAGATTGATTGAGTAAGAGAGAGGGGACTTACCTGTTGATGCTGTCGACATCGCACGCTGCAGAGACGTCTTCATGGGAGATCTGTGCCTATGTGGCACTCTGTTGTGATCAGGTCTCGGCAGGCTTGTTTCTGGGACACTGTTTGCTGACATGGAGGTGGGGGTGACGCCCGAAGAAGGAGTGGGGAATGAGGGTCTTCTGTCTACGTGTACATTGATGGATACATTCTCTTCCACCCTCTAAGTCTAATCTCCCTCTGGGACACTGCTTGTTTCTGCAGAGACGTCTTCATCCTATGGTTACGAGACATTGTATTACAGATTGCATTTCACGATTATTGGAGACATTTATCAGCGCTGAGTCATCTTATATTTCGACACTTGACGAGTTTCCTCCTGACTGGGTTCATTACAGGTATATTCCTGTTCATTTTTCCCCCTGACCTTCAGCTTATATTTTGTCTGTCCTCTTAATGATTTTCATTCCTATGCATTCGCTAGTAGAACACAAGAGGAGGGGGGAAGGGAATAGGAGGTCGAGTTCTCACAGGGTTCTAAATACTCACCGCTGAAGCAGACTGCTCTAGAATGGCACAAGGGGCTTGTCAGCGTTTGGGTTGCATCAGATTTTGAATTGAGGAGCAGGGGTTGGTAAGTACTAAGTAGCGACCCCTACAGACCGGGCAGGACCGGTTCGGGTGTGGACTGTGGAAGCACTGCATCCAATTCTCGCAATTGCAGTTGCTGCATTGAATGGCAAGGCGTAGACAGATGTCACAGGCTACGTGGCTCCTACATGCTAGGAACACAGAGGAACACCGACCGCAATTGTAGAGGCATTGCCGCTCCAGCCCGTCTACAATTGGACATGACATATCAGGGTGCCATACATGAGTGGAGTATTGACTGTCATCATACGTATGAAGACAAAAACTCGCATGGGCAATCCCTTCACAATCCTCATGGCATAAGGCATGTGAACCACATGCTACCCGAATCTCAGGTGGGTCATCACTGAGCGGCATTGAGCAGGTTTCATGGGTTTCCCCAGTTTTATTCCCTCTCAATGGACAGACGACGGTGGGGATTGATCCAAAGCCACTGTGTTTAGCTGCTGCAGGATTTGGTGTGCAACAGTTCGCCATGGTAGTGATAACCTTTCAGTACAGCTACTGTCCGACTCCTCTTGAGAGGCTCCTTCACTTGTGCTCAGAGTGGCTGCTAATTGTGCAAGTGCTGCACAGGTGTGTCTGGCGCACACGCAGGCCTGTGGCACTGAAGAAATCATCACCACATTGTTGGCATCGGACTCGATATGTACTATTCCTGGCTAGTTTATATTGAGAACGATGGCGTCGTTCCGAAAGGTTGCCAGCATGACATCCGAGTAGATCTCTGACCCCTGCAGGGGGCACAGTGATCATGCTGTCCAAGAAGAAATAAGGAGAAACGAGGCCGCTGTCCTGAAGCCGGTGGTGGAGATGGGAAGAGGTATTTGTGAAGGCCGATGTGATGATGGATGCCGCCGCCAATGGGGCCTCTGTGACGGCTGATCTGACCATGAATGTCTTGATGATGAGGTTGATGACGAAGGGGAGGCATGGAAGGTGGAGGGGGCGGAAGAAGGAGAAGGGGAAGAGGAGGAAGAAGAAGAGATGGAGGCAGACGACTGAGGGAATGATGTGGTAGAAGCTGTCGGAGGGGTAGCTGGAGGTGATGGTGGTGCAAGTTGTGGTGATAATGAGGGTGGTGGCAGTGATAGCGGAGGTGGTGGTGGTGGTGGAGGGCGTGGTGGTGGTGGTGGTGGTGGTGGAGTCGTCACACTTTCAGCAGCAGTCGCTGCCTTGGTAGGAGGCAGGCCTTCATCAGCTGTACCCACTTCGGCAGCATTTACATTGTTTGTTGTGGCTGGCCTGGTCTCCAACTGAGTTGGCATATCCACATTAGTGTCTGACATTTCAGTAGGAAAAACAGGAGAGGGAGGGCCCTCTGCGTTTGGCTGCATGGAGGGCTGATGCTGCCTGTAGTCAAAATTGGTGTTCAGAAGTGGGTGGTGGCCTACTGTGTGTGGCTGCGTGGAGGGCGTGTGTGCAGAATTAGCATTCGGCAGTTGGTGAGCAATTGCCTAGTGCACCATGCAGCGAAACCAGTTTGGAAGCTGTGTGGCATGAGTGGGTAGCTGGCGCTGCCGCCCATACACATGCAGTCCAGCCTCTGGCAAGACACTATGTTCTCTCCGACCTTGGCGGCTCTCCGACACTAGATAGGAAGATGGCCCCTAACAAGCATACGTTGTGTCAGGAAAGTCACTGCAGCTTTGAAGTGCGTGGTATTGTTACAGATATGTTCAAACTTCAAAGCTCATTAGCTGTCCCGTGAGCACACCTGCGGGCTGATGAGCTGGGCTATTGTAGGAAGCACTGGGATAACATATGACAGGGAATGTCCAAGCCTCAGCCTTATCAAACACAAAAATGCGAAGTGAGCCGTCTGGCTCCAGGCCGGGATTCTTGCCCCGAGGAAAATACATGATCCATCTTGCTCAGTAGTTCCTTTCCACTCAAGACCATAACGAGCAGTGTGTGTGTGTTTGTGTGTGTGGTCTGTCCGCCTGTAAAGTGATTAGACTGGTTGGCTGTCAGCTGTAGAACGGGAAATATAGAGTCGTGCCCTTGCTGGCTTGCGTATCTTTGCCTCTAGCTTGGGCTAGAGAACTCGGACTATGAATGGTCCATCTCTTTGGGCCAGAGAGCTCGGACTATGAATGGTCCATCTCTTTGGGCCAGAGAGTTCGGACTATGAATGGTCCATCTCTTTGGGCCAGAGAGCTCGGACTATGAATGGTCCATCTCTTTTCACGTTTCCTGTTGGATGATCGATTGCTGTTTTGAAATTTGAATCCTCTGCTATTCCATTTGTTACCTGTGACAATTATTGAACGAGGAAGTGAAAGTCGTTCCAAGTTCAAAAAAAAAAAAGTCGTTCCAAGTTCAATTGAAAAAAAAAACAAAACAAAGAATTATCATGCTGAGGAGGAGGAGGAGGATGAAGTTAGGTGGTGATGGAGTCCATGGCTTAAATTTCAGACATACCCCCATAACACTTTGATCACTACAAATCCAATCCCCTCCTGAACAGACGGCTTCGAGTAAGGGTCAAAGGGGTAATTTTGACCCTCTTCATCTCGAACGTCCCAAGGGGTATCTAGGCAATACAGGCATCTATTCTATTTCTCCTTGCAGGTGGCAAAGCTACTTATCTTTTGCTGGAAATTTTCTTCGTTCGCAGAATGCTGGGCGCCGATGATCTGGACCTCTGTGTAAAATACATATGAATGAGCTGGACATGTGTGGAGAAGACACGTGGCAGACTCTTCGGCGGTTGCCGCGCGGAGGACTTGCCTGGTCACGGGCAATCAGAACGCAGGACCATCGTTCCGACGCAGAGGCGGCAGAGAGGTGGAGGTAAAGGAGGAAAAGAGAGGCGCTTGAGCAATAATCACCCCCTCTGCCTGCAGAGAAAAGAAAAGAGCACATCTTGTGCATAACGATGACATCAATGCCTTTGAGAATGTGGGTGGGTGATATCTCCCTTCACCTCTCCAAGTGCAGGGAGATCACCACCCCCCCCTCCCCTCCTTCCACTCCACCTCCTCCTCCCCCTCCCCGATGCTTGATAAGCCTATTTTCAATGGCACACCGTGGAGAAAATGTGCCATTAACCTGAGGATGACGATGAGGAGGAGGAGGAGGAGGAGAGCACTCTCGCGATGACCTTCTTCTTCTTGCCGGAGGAGAGCAAGAACATTGTGTCGCCGATGACATCAACATCTCTCAGGAGGCGATCTTCTTCCTCCACCTTTTCGTTGTTGAGATAGACGCCTCCTTGCTTGATTAGTCGTCGAACGGCGCCCTTGCTAGGGAAGAGTCCGACATGCACTGCCACATCGACAAGCGGTCGGCCAACCACCGCCGATCTGTCCAGGTCAATTGTTGGCACATCACCAGCGATGGCTGTGAGCGCAGCCACGTCGAGTTTCGTCGTCTTCGCTCCCGGCGACAGCGCTCGAGTGGCGCGCAGTGCCTCTTCTAATCCTTCTTCTCCATGGACGAATCGCGTGACCTCCGCAGCAAGTCTCCTCTGGGCAGAGTTGGGAACGTAATCGGGTCGCGACATAGCTGCTTCCATCTCCGAGATCTCATCCAGATCTACGAACGTTAACATCTTCATCAATCTTATCACATCGGCATCGGCAACGCCAATCAAGTACTGGTAGAATTGGTACGGAGAAAGAAGCTCGGCCGACAGCCACACGGCTCCAGACTCGGTTTTGCCAAACTTACGCCCATCACTTTGTAACAACAACGGAAAAGTCAACCCATACACCATAGGTCCCCCTTCGGGGACTTCCTCTCCTCCTACCCCTCCCTCTCCTCCTCCTCCTCCTCCTCCTTCTGCTTCTGCTTCTGCTTCTCCTCCTACTGCGACTTCCCCGCCTTTGCGTGGCAAAAGCTTCCTCACCAGATCCGTCCCCGCGGTGATATTTCCCCACTGGTCGGATCCGCCGACCTGAACACTAACCCCATGCTCCTTGTGCAAATGAACGAAGTCGTAGCCTTGGAGGAGTTGATAGCAGAACTCGGTGAAACTCAGTCCCGACTCGGACTGCAATCGGGATCGCACGCTCTCCTTTCCCAACATGGTCCCGACGCGAACGTGCCGGCCGACGTCGCGCAAGAAGTCCAGCATACTGAATTGTGAGAACCAATCGGCATTATTCAGGACCAGCGGGAGGGGGAGGGGGAGGGGGGGAGGAGGAGGAGGACCGGCGGAAGGAGACGATGACGGGGATGACACGGCCGACGAAGAGTCGTGCTCAGTGCCACGTGGCGCATTGAGAAGAAGCCTCTCGAGCAAGGAACGCAACTTGGCAAGGTTCTTGTTGATGGTGGAATCTCCCAGAAGGGGCCTCTCGACACTCTTGCCCGACGGATCGCCAATGCGCGCCGTTGCCCCGCCCAGCAGTGCGACGGGTCTGTGGCCGTATCTCTGGAACCATGCCAGCACGATTATGCCGATCAAGTTCCCGATGTGCAAGCTCTCAGCCGTCGGATCGAATCCACAATACACGGAGAGCGATCGCTGAGCAACAACAGTGCGCAACTCCTCCGATGTCAGCGACTCCACCAAACCCCTCAGCTCCAGCGTGTCAATCAGATTACTACCAGATGATGATGATGGCAAGCACGACGGCAGGGGAGAAGATAAAGAGGAAGAGGATGCCGCCGGGCTGCCGTCCTGTGTTGAAGATACCGCCGTGGCATTCGAATACGCTGACACGTGGCTGTTTCTCGTCGACGCCTGCCCCGCCACATTCCCCCCGGTATTTCCCGCCACATTCCCCGCGGTGTTTCCCGCCAATCCTCGGTTGCTCGAGGGAGAACACAAGGGTGAAGCGGCAGTCGATGACGATGATGATGATGCAGAAGAACGAAAACGACACCCAGCCGGCGAAAATGGATGACGTGGCCCAGCGCGGCAGCTTGCCGAGCAAATCACACGTCCGAGATTCTCCCGCCACGTGTCAGACCAGCAGCTATCGCAATTAGAGCACGAGGAGGATCGTCCAACCTCGACGACACCGATGGAGCCGTTCTGAAGATGATGATGATGATGGACAGACTGGTGCTGCGTGACCTGGATGATGAACGGGTTGCTGACGTGGAGAGAGAGGGTGGCAGGGGTGGAACGCGCACGGAGATGATCAGAAAAAAGCATCGTGCTGACGTGGCTGTCCCACGTCCGCCGAATGGAGCCAGGGGACACGTGGCAACCCCGGGGGAGGGGGATCCGACGTACGACAAGACGCGATGCCAGAGGCCGGAGCCATGCTCCGTTCTGTGCAAGCGCGCCGCCCGGCATCTTCCTCTTCGTCAATGCGCGCCGCTCCACCTGGACGTCCAAGCATTCAGCCACGTGTCTTCACATTCCCCAACCACCCCTGTTTATCTACTGGCCGGCCCACGCCGCCATCGTACGTTCCAATCAAGATCCTCCCTCTCCTTCTGCTGCTGCTGCTGCTCCTGCTTCTGCTGCTTCTGCTACAGCCTTTCTTCACAACGATTGCGATAAACGTCAACCAAAAACCCGTCCTGCACACACAGCGATGGCAAAACAGGGTTAAAAGCCCATAACCCATCNTTTGCTTTCTTGGATAGCCTTTCTTCACAACGATTGCGATAAACGTCAACCAAAAACCCGTCCTGCACACACAGCGATGGCAAAACAGGGTTAAAGGCCCATAACCCATAATCAATATCCATCCCATTTTGCTTTCTTGGATCGTTGCAAACTCATTTGCACTGTTCTTGCTGCAGCGTTCTCAATACAGCTGAGCTGTTGAAACTTTTTTTTTTTTTTTTTTTTGGGAAAATGCTGTTGAAACTTCGTTGCCCTTGCTAGAAAGCAATGATAATAAACAATACGAACAAGAAGGCAGTTGTCGTCACAAATCCTCCAAACATGGAAGTACTTTCTTAAAGTCAGCAACCGTTCTCCTTCTTCGCCTTTTTTTTTTTATTTTTTTGGTGGGGTGGGGGGGGAGGAGGAGGAGGAGGGGAGAATTGCACCCAGCTGATTTTCACAATTTCCCGACAGAGAGACTGCCA